CAAAATCCTGTGGGACAACTGCGCCGCAAGTGAATGCTGAGCCGTCACGTCAGTACGAGGATTGGCGACAGTCTGCTGCGGCTGACGGACCCAACACCGTCGACCAGAGTCCCGCATCCAGCACGGCGACCAACACGTCCGAGACGAGGCCTGAGTTTGCCAGCAATCCGATCGAAGTGATGGTCCCGACACCATTCGAAAGAAGGCCACGCCTGTCACCGAGCCAAAGGGGGATCCCATTGATGATGGGATGAGTGGTTCAATAAATGTTGAGTTGCCGCACGGAGTCGATCTACTTGTGCTGCAGACGACGCTGGTGCAGCCGAAGGATGGGATTGTTCCAGTTACGACGAGGGATTCGTTTGCCTCACCCTCTCCTGTCAGTGCTGGTGGAGTAATTGCTGCTTTCGTCGAGGGTCACATGGATGCCGAATATCAAGGTGGTCAATTAAGTAAGCTCTTTTCTTCTGATGTGGTTGCGGGGTGCATTGACTCTGCGTGGAATTGGTCCACTCTTGTTGGTGAGGTAAAAAAGGATACATGGAGGGCACACACTGTGCCTGGAGCAGCGGAGGGAGAGGAGGGTTTGGGTGTAGTGCTCCGCCCCACAACAATCACGAAGGGCCACGGAGTGTTTCCTCTTGCGGGAGGCTCTGATGTGTCCTACGAAGGTGTGCGTTGGAGAGAGGGCGGCTTGGAACCGAAACTGGTTGTGGGTGATGTCGCGAATCCCACGGGTGGCAGGCAGAGTGGATCAAATGGGGCGACCCCAAACCACTCTCGAAACTGATCTCTTCTGCTTTTCACAAGGGGAAATGGACGGAGTTCATTGCTTCTGGTGGCGCAGGTGTTGTGATGGAGGATGGCACGCTTGTGTTTCCTGTTATGGCGGTGAATGAGGCAGAAGACGTTTGCTCCATGATCATTTACTCGACGGACAGCGGCAGTGCCTGGGCGCTCTCTGAGGACATTTCCCCTGCGGAATGTCTTAACCCCCGCGTCACCGAGTGGGAGGGATCACTTCTCATGATTGTTGACTGCGAGAATGGCCAGAGGGTGTACGGGTCGCGTGACATGGGGACAGCGTGGACGGAGGCACTCGGGGCAATCTCAGCCGTGTGGGTCAATGCACGATCAGGAGTCTCCCAGAAGGAAAGCCTGCGTGTGGATGCCCTCATCGCCGCGACCATTGAGGAAAGGAAGATCATGCCGTACAGTCAGAGGGCACGCCTCGGGGGAGAAAAGGGCCACTGCGCTCTGCCTTTGGGTCATGGACAACAACCGCACATTTTCCGTTGGACCGGTTGCCGTGGACAATGCTGCGGGTTGGATGCTCGCCAGGACCCTGCTGCACTCGGATGGCAGTTTGCATCTTTTACGACGGAGGGGCAACGGTGAGGGCCGTGTCATTTCACTTTCCCGCCCGACGGAGGAACTGAGTGCAATCAAGTCCGTCCTCAGTACTTGGGCGCAAAAGGACATTTTCTTCTCTAGATTGTCAATACCCACGGCGGGTCTGGTGGCAGTTTTTTTCGATGCGGCCAGTGACGACACGTGGAACGACGAGTACCCTTGCCTGCATGCAACGGTGAAGGAATGCAGTGAAGGACAACGATGGGTTACAATTGACGGGACTTGAGTCCAGGGCACTATGGCCTGTGAACACTCGGGGTGATGAAGTGCGTCATGTATTCTTGAGCCACGACTTCACACTTGTGGCGTCGGTGACCATCGAAGGGGCTCCGAGTGGGAACACTCCTCCACTGACTGCGGTGCTGGCGCACACTGCGTCCAATCATACCGTGGGACTGTCGCACGGCCATAATAATAGGTGGGAGATGATGTTCAAAGGCAAGACAACAACTCGGAGCAGCACTTGGGAGCCGAGGAAAGAACACCAAGTGACACTCATGCTGCAAGGCAACAAGGCTTCTGTGCACACTGATGGTCGTTCGCTGGGGGAGGAAGAGGTGCCGTTAGCAGGCGAGAAGCCACCCGAGGTACTGAGGTTTTTCTTTGGCGCGTGCGGTGGGCACGAATCTCGTTTGACGGTGACGAACGTCTTTCTGTGCAGCCGCCCACTGAACACCACTGCGATGCGTGCACTCAGGGCAGGGTCCCCGCTCCGACGAGAGAAGCGGCTCCGACACCGCCCGAGAAGATTCGAGTAGTCGACAGCGTCAGGGAGCACGTTGCTGGGAATATTACGGAAGAGAAATGAATGGGCACAACGCCCCTGGACACGAATCCCCACTACAAATAGTCACCTCGCAGGGTGTGGAGCGGCGTGAGTCCCGACGACCGCCTCGCCTCTCCCAACGACGTGAACTTGACACTGCGTGATTTAGGCGGCAACAACACCGTGCGTGCGTGCGTGTCTTGTGCGTTGCTGCCTCTAATGGGATTGTGTTTGGGTCGTGACAGCCTTCTGAGCCACAGAGTGTGGATCCGCGGCTCCTCACCTAGAATACATGCCGAATTGCCCGCCTTTTTTTTACTTCTATTTCTTCAATTTCTTTACTTTTAAATGTCTTTTTTCACTGTAGTTCAGCTGGAGCAGTAAGTACTGTTGTTTTTGCTTTACGTAATGTTTGTTTGCTGCAAACTGTAATGAGCGAAGTGTTTTTCCTACTGTTTTTCTTCTTTTGTTGTCCACACGCGGTGCCGGCCCTGCGGCTGTGCGTCCCACGGACTGCACGAAAGGGGGATTGGAGGAACAGGCGGGATGCCGCACGAAATGTGAGGGATGTTGTGTGGGCTGGTGGAATAATGCGATCTTTTTTATTATTACGTTTTTCGTTTGTGCAGGTAATATGTGCAAGCACCCAATCGTCTTTAGCTGCATGGCACATGAAAGTCCTGCCGAATCATTTTTTTTTTCCATGAGTCCTGCAGGGGTCCCACACTTTGTTTGTTTGTTTGTTTCATTCTTTTTCATTTTTGGTAATTCCCTGCGGATATGTTTTTGTCTCCGCCGTTTTGACTGTTACTTTGTTTCTTCTTGTTTCGTTGGGTGTGTCCCTCTGCTGATTGTGCTTCTGACATTTTCCATTTCTTCTGCCTTCTTTCCTGCTAGAGGCGCCGATGGTCCGCGACGACGATTGTTTGTGTTCCCCATTGCGATGGCACGAGGGCGACTGGGCGCCGGCCTGCTGAGCGCACTTGGAGGAGAGCGGATGGTGTGCGCCGTGCTCCATTTGTGAGTGTGGGGCGCCACCCGCCAAGGCCTGCTGTGAGCCGCAGTGCTATTCCGTCGAGGAAGAGAAGTAAAGGACAGTGCCGTGGACGTGGATGCGCCCCGCCCCTCTCGTTGCGGCCGTGGGTGTGCCCTGCGCATTGCTTTTTCTCCCTCCCTCCTGTGTGACCATCCCTTCCTTTTCCCCATTGGTCTTTTTCGTTTTTGGTAGGTGGCGTGGAGTTTCTTACTGTGGCAAACCGCATTTTCCAGTCGCGATAGTGTAACGCCGGCGCGGTTCCCTTTTGACGCCGCCCCCGCGGACGGACCAACCATGACGGAGGAAGCGCTGGCGCAGCAGGTGCTGCAGGAGTTCATGGCAACGCGTCACGCCGGGTCGTCGGTGGAGCTGCTCTGCTCCGTGTTCTTTGCGCGCCCGCAGTAGACGATTGCGGAGCGCTACCCACTCGCGTGTAATCGTCTTTTATTGGCGTGGCTTTGGCGCGGCAAGTGGCATTGCTTTGCGGATGAAAATGTGGGACTGCGCTGCTTCCTCCACACGCTAAGGGACTGTGCTGAGACTAGAGATCTGGAGGTTCACGTCGCGTTCAGCGAGTTGCGGTGCTGTGTGAAGGACGAGGATGCCCGCGCGGTGCGGCAGGCGGACGGCAGCGTTGGCGCGCTACTGCGGGAGCATCTTCTCCAGGAGGGTGCCTTGCATCGCTGGTGTGACGAGGCGGTGAGGGCGGCACAGGCGGACGGTGGCGCGGGGGGTGCTGATGGAGCCTTATGGCGAGTGACGCGCTTGCGCGGCACACGAGTGCACAGGCGGCTCCGCCGTCACGTTGTCCATTGCCTTCAATCGTGGGTGCCGGCGAATTCCGGCAGGCGATCCGCGAGGGACCTCTTCATGGCGGCTATGGGGTAAGAAGCGAGGGAAGGAGAGAGGGGAGACACGCGTTGGGGAAAGAGGGGGCGGGCTGCTGCGGCCGCACCTCGTTGTCGTCACTTCAGTTTGTTGTCGTGACAGTGCTGTCATATTTTGTTTTTTCTTCACAGACGTTTGGGATTGTGCGTTCTTTTTGATTGCTGGGAGGAGAGGGTGCGTGCGTGCTGTGCATTTGCGAGAGTCTTGTGGGAGGACTGTGATTCGCGGCGGTGTGGCGGTGTGTGCGGGAGTGGCTCCGCCGCGAAGGGCAGGGAGCGAGGTGCCCCAGTTTGTTCTGGGAACTGCGGCGCATGGACTCACCGTTGGGCTCGTGGGACCCTTGCGCGTCACTCACGTGTGTGCGCTGGCGCGACAGTGCCGGTGAGGGAAGCCTGAGGAGCTGCGTGCTCACTCCGCGATGGACGTGGGCTGCGGGGCGTCTGGCAGATGCGGCTGAGCGGGGCATCCGATGTCATTTGCCTGGCCGACAACGAAATGTGACTCCGCTTATGGGAAAATGCAGGGATTTTGATTTGTCCCTTGCATTGCTTTCTTTTTCCCGTGAGACACACCGCATACCGAACGCCCACCCACCGTCATTCCTGCTTGCATATCTCCTGCGGGCTCGGCGACTCATTGTGGGTGCGTGCCCTCCATGAGGAATGCGCTCCCCTTCCCGGTTCCCGGAACTGTAGCCACATCCACCGGAGCCTGGGGGCTACACTTTTCTACTCCTTCCCCTTTTGGGTGCGTGTGGGGTGCTGGGTGCTGCTTCACAGCCGTGTGTGTGTGTGTCCCTGTAGTGCGGCACATGTATTTCTCTCTCCCTCTTGTTGTTGTTGTTGTCCTTGCCTCACTGTGTAGATTTTCTCACAAAGTCGAGCGACTCTACGACGAATGATGATGATGGTAACTGTGCGGCGCCGCGTGGTGTGTGATCAGCTGGTCCTTGTGCTCTTGTGCTGCTGCTGCTGCTTGTCCGTCTGCGGGACTCCTGTGCCGGCAAAAACCCTTATGAGTGTGCATGTTTCTTGTTCGAGGACTGACGGTAGGTTGGGTTGGCGTCTTCCCAACGAGACGGGTTGGAGAAAGTGTGCCAATAAGCCTGCAGAAGGTGGAGGAGGAGAGGATGAGTGTGCACTGGTGTGCATTGCCGCTGGGTACGTCTACAAAGATGCGGAAAATCCCAGACCGTGCGTCCCTGACGGTGGACCGACTGATGTTTGGACCGGGATAGGGATGCGTTTGAGCGAGAATGTAAAAAACTGCAGTTCGGCGGCTGCACCGACAGCGACGGTTGCTGGCCAGGCACAGAGCGGCGTCGGCAGTCCGCCGGGGGAGGCAGCTGAGGCGCCGCAGAAGTCGCCTGAGCACACAGACGAAGGCGGCTCTTATCCAAGTCTAAGCGAACACGTGGCATCGGCACCCGAAGCTTCCAGTCAGACGCCCTCTTCTCCATCTGGAGGCACCGCCACTGGGGTGCGGGATCCCGGCGGTGCGGACAGCAGCGACGCCGCCACTGTGTGGGTGCGCACGTCTCTGCTGCTCGTCACCGCCCTTATCTGCGCTGCTGTGCGGTGATTGGGATTAGTCGTGCATTTCCTTGCGGGGACGGCTCGTACTTTATATGTGTTTCCTTTCTTTTTTCTTTTTTTTTTTTGCTTTTGCTTTTGACCACACACGGTGCCGGCCCTGCGGCTGTGCGTCCCACGGACTGCACGAAAGGGGGATTGGAGGAACAGGCGGGATGCCGCACGAAATGTGAGGGATGTTGTGTGGGCTGCTGGAATAATGCGACCTTTTTTATTATTACGTTTTTCGTTTGTGCAGGTAATATGTGCAAGCACCCAATCGTCTTTAGCTGCATGGCACATGAAAGTCCTGCCGAATCATTTTTTTTTTTCCTTTCTCCTTGAGTTCTGCAGGGAACCCACATTTTGTTTTTTTGTTTGTTTCATTCTTTTTCATTTTTCGGTAAATATCTGCGGTTCATTTTTTCTTCCTTTGCGGTGTTCACTGACGCTGAGTGCTTACTTGTCCCGTTGAGTGTCCCTCTGCTGGCTGTGCTGTTGAGACGCTTCCATTTCTTCTGCCTTCTTTCCTCCTAGAGGCGCCGATGGTCCGCGACGACGATTGTTTGTGTTCCCCATTGCGATGGCACGAGGGCGACGGCCTGCTGAGCGCACTCGGAGGAGAGCGGATGGTGTGCGCCGTGCCTCACTGTGAGTGTGGGTGCCAATCCGTCGAGGAAGAGAGAAGTAAAGGACAGCGCCGTGGATTTGTGTCCGTCCCGTCCCTATTTTTGCCGCCATGTGTGTGCTGTGCGCATGGCTCCATCTCGCGATGCGACGTGGATGGCGTTGCTTTTGCGTGCGCCTTCGTGCATGCGCTGTGCGGCGGGCCTCTCTCCCCCATGACACCGTCCTTTTGTGTGTGTGGGACAGCGGAGGGAGCGGAGATGTGTGTGGAAGTGTGGCCGTTGTTTCCGCACACTGAGGTCCTCCACACAAGTGGCACCTTTCGGCAGCCTCTCACAGCACCAGGCTATGGATTGAGAGGATGTGGAAGGCCTGCTCCAAGCACAATTAGGACGACAAGATGCAGTGCATGACGGCCAACCTGATCGGCATGTGTTTGCAGCGCATGGAGCACGTGCGCCAGTACTTGTTGGGCGTTGCGCTCATGATTGTGGAGGAGAGGCGGCACGACGTTGTGGCGCTGTGTGTTTTGCGCGGCCGTGGCTTGCCGGCGATTGTGTGGGACGTGGAGTACACGGAGCTGTTTGACTGGGGAGGAGGTGGCGGACGTTGCGGCGCAGCGGGAGTGCATGACGGACTGCCCTTGCTGGGAGGGGCACGTGTTGAAGTGAGCGTGGCGTGCCTGTGAGGGCCTGAGAAGAGGGACAACAGTAACAGTGCCAGTGGGAGCGTGAGGAACGGTGCACGGCGAGGAGCGCTCTTCTTTTATTTTGATTGTTGTTGAACCGTCCCCGCACAATTGTTGTTGTGGTGCGTGACTCTCGTCGCTGAATGGGACGGTGCGTGGCTGTGTGACTTGTCTCTCCTCTTTGCTTTGACTCTGCGTTGACGGGGAGTTAGTTTGTGCTGAAGGCTACACGCAAGTGACAGGAGTGATGGCGATGATGACTGGCCGTGTGCTGCTGGTGTGTGCCCTCTGCGTGCTGTGGTGCGGTGCTGGCGGTGTTTATGCGAGGGACGTCGACAACGGCGCATTTGGTGGCTGCATGGCGTCGGGATTGTTGGGTACGAATTGGTGTCACATGCCGAGTGGATGTAAGAAGACTGAGATTACGTTGCCGTTGCAGTCTGCATTGTCTATCACTGCCGCTGAAGCCTCGACTGACGGAGAAGAAGCTACTGTTACAATTAGACATAGTCCGGGTTTCAATCCATCTTCGGTAACGCCACCAATAAAACAATCAGAGGCATTGGCACCCACAATATCATCGGAAGTGCCGCCACCACCACCACCACCGAAAAAGAATCCAAAGAACCGCTTTCATCCCGACCACCAGTACCCGGTGACAGCGACACTGGTGGCGGTAATTCTGACAGAGACAGCGGTGCTGGTGGCACTGGCGGTGTTGTGGATGGTGTTGGGGGTATCGATGGCTTAAGTGAAGTTCCTTCTTCCGGTGTTCCATCAAGTTCATCTTCCAATCCCAACGGGAATGATCCTTCAAAGACCCTCAGCAATACGCCATCCATTCAGAACAGGGAATCCTCGGAAAAAGGTGAGCCGTCCGGAAAAAAATCTCCAGGGCCCGTGTCGCCAAGCGGGCAGACAGGAGAGGCGTCAAAGCCCGAAGAAAAGTCACGCGCCTCCGATACACAAGAAGAAGCAGAAACATCAGTTGCTGGTAAGGACACAACTAAAGCTGAGGGGACGCAGAGTGACATGAAGACGGACGGCTCTTCCAACACGTTGTCCACCGCCGGCAAGTCGAAAGTGCAACCACCACCACCAGTAAAGCCACCAACGGCAGAAGAACTGCAGCCAAACAGAGCACCAAAAGACCCACGCACGGCAACAGAAGAAAAACACGAAATGCCAACTTCAGCAACCAAAACAAATCCCGACACACCTAAAACGTCTTTAAAGGATGGCATGGCAGACCAACACGGTCACGACGCAACCACACCGGTTTTGGTCAAAAATGCAGCTACCGGCAGTTCAGCGGAAAGAAAATCACCATCCATCTCCACAAATGACAGTGACGATGCCCAGCGTACAGGGGATGAGAATAATGACGATGATCCACGGCCTAAACACAAAGAAACAGGTGGCCACAAAGCTGCCAATACCAAATTCGCTTCTACACCCAGTGAGACAGCACCACAAACCGTAAAAACAGAAACAGTCACCGTCGCTCAAAAAAATGATACGGCGACAAGTGGCGAGAGTGACGGCAGCACCGCGGTCTCCCACACCACCTCCCCTCTTTTGCTTCTTCTTGTTGTTGCGTGTGCTGCTGCTGCGGTGGTGGCCGCGTGAGAGTGAGGGAGAGAGAGCCGTGCACCGCCCGCACACACACTCGTCCTTCTCTCTCTCTGTGTGTGTGTCCCTTGCATGGACTCTCGCCCTCACCTCACCCCACGAGGCACACACATAATGTGCCCATTGTATATATGCATGCACACTCATGCAGGCCCGTTGGTGCTCTCTTTTGCACGACACGCACCGCTGCCGTCCTGCCTGGCTGCATGGGCGGAGCACCGTAACTGTTTTTCTTTCCATTGCATTGAGTGGGCGACCTCTCTCTCTCTCACTCTCTGCGGCATCGTAATCGACGCCACCAGCACGCAGTGAGGCAGCGGAAGCCGCCATTGACACAAGTGCGACCGGAAGGGGACACGTCTGCTGTTGTGTTTCGAGGGGGCGCACCGTGTGGCACAGTGACGTGCCCAAAACCTCCTCGCGGAACCTGCACACGACACCGGGCACTGGATGTGGGGTGTTTGCGTCATGAAGGACACTGCGGTGGAGTCCCTCCTCCCTGCAGGTGGACGGACGCCTGAGTTTCCTTTTGTTCTTACTCAGGCGGATGGCTGCGCGATGACACCACAGCGAGGCAGTTGTTTTCACCATGGCGGGGCAACATCTGCAGGGTTGCGCATTGGGAATATGAACGGCGAGTGCAGTAAGAAAGGGAGTGTCATGGCTCTTTTTTGCCGCGCGAATTGCGGGGATTTTCATAAAGCATGTGATTGCACTCCTTTCTGTTGTGTTGGAACTTACCATGATGCGCCGCTGTTGTGGCGTGTGTGATTTTGGGTGTCTGCGTGTGGCCGTGGCTGCACCGAATTCCCTTCCCACTTTTGTGTGTGTTTTCGTGTGTCCGTGACGATATGCCCGCACGTCCTCTTGCAGAGTGTTTGCGGTGAAGGCGGCGCCACACGGGTGCGGACCGTAGCGAGCGGGATGCGTGGGCGAACCCTCCGTGCACACCACGTTGCTATTATTGTTTGCTCTCACCAACACTGTGCTGGGTGGTTGGCACCCGCGCGCCGTCGTTGCGGCGGTCCTCATGCATGTGGTGTGCGTCGCACACTGTGTGGATGACTCTCTTGCTGTGGCTGCCCGTGATGTCTGTGCCTAGTTACCCCATCTCTCTCTTATTCTCCTCCTGTTCGGTGGTTAGTGTTCAGCTTTAACTCAATCCAACTAAAAGAACAGAAGGAAGCAATGCCTGGAAATCAAGCGTCTGCTGTGCCGCAGGGAGATATTCGGAGGAGAGCGAGGCCGGAGTCTGAGGGTGACACAGATCAACCCGCTGCGACTCGCGGAAGAGTGGAGAAGGTGCGGCGATTAATGTGGGCTCTTGACAGTCGGGTGGAAGGACGCACGCCGTGGGAAGACTACGAGTCTGTGTACAATGCGAGATGGCATCATGTCATGGAAGTTCCTGGCGGCGAGGGGACGGGAATGGAGGTGCATGAAGGGGAACCACCGCGGTCATGGACGTACAAGGCAGTTGGCCGAACCCTCGAAAAGAATGACGGTGTGGAGCCATCCGGTGCACCACGTCTCAGGCTGATGGTGCTTACCTTGGGCAAGAAATGGGATTTCTTGGGCGGGAATGCAAGTACCGACTGCTATGTGAACTGTGAGGTGGATCGAGTGTGGCAGATCGTCAAGGGCGATCTCACCGAGTGGTTCAGCAGTCGTCCTGAGGACCACTTTACGCCTCATCCGCGCTTGTTGACTGGGACGCCCGGTATCGGGAAATCGATGGCTGCCGGTTCGTACCTCCTCTACCAGCTGCTGCACTACGATGCGGAGCTACTCCCTGTGGTTGTGTTCTTTGTTTCTGGACGTGAGGCATACGTGTTTAACAAGACCGCCGAGACGGTGACAAGATACATGGATAAGTCCATGATGATAAAAGCTGTGAAGGAACTGTCTCGGCGCGGGATGAAGGGGTATATCATCTACGACGTGGTATACAGTTTAGATATTCCGTCTCCTTTTTTGCCTCCCGGAGGCTGGGGCATGCTTGTGGTGGCAACGCCAGAGACAACAAGTTACATACACTGGGCGAACGAAAAGAGAGCCGTACGAATCATAATGAATTGCCCTGATGAGAGCGACGTGAAGGCAATGTGCGTTTGGAAGAAGCGCAATCAGCCTCCGCCGCAGCAAGCGGAATACTGGCGAGAGGTGAAGGGTCGCATGGACAAACTGGGACCTATTCTTCGCTACATCTTTGAAGAGGGACGTTATAAATATTGGATTGGAGATTGCCACAAACTTGTGGATGGAACGACCTCTTGGGGAATCCAGAGTTACTCTGTTTTCGGAACTTCCAAACTGTGGGAGGGTAATAAGGTGCTTGAATATCTTGCGAGGATTGTCCGAGCACGAGGAGAGCGCAATGGCGAGTCGCCCCTCAATGCACCGATAACTGCCCACCTCGCAAGTAAAACACTGTGCAAGTTGGCACAGTTAATGACGCAGGCTGAGTTTAACTTATTTGTATCGAGGATCAGGGATTGTCTCATGCACGCAAATTTTGGGAAGTGTGCCATGTTTGCATTTTTGAATGTGGCCTTCATGGCTGCAATAAGACGTAAACTGAAGGAGCTGAAGCCCCCAACACGACGTCCGTCACACCGCTGTGCGCCGGACGTGCACTCGCAGGAGGGCCCCACCAGCCACTACTTTTTGCCGTCGGCGGAACGCATTGGCAAGAAGACTTGTATAAACCACCGGCTGCTGTACATACCGGAGGTCGAGAATTTTCCGCTGGTGGACGGCTTTTTCTTCATGGACTCAAACCCAATGACGCTGGTTGGGCTGCGGATGGCTACGGCGGGTGGGCACCACACCACCGCCAGCACTGTGCGGCAGTTCACTGAGTGCCTGGCGGCATATTTTAATGGCTGGGAGGAATTATCCCGAGACATTTCGTGGGAGATTATTTATGTGCAGCACGCAGACAGCACGCCGTTGAATGACTGGCAGAGATGTGATGTTGTAAATTCCGATAATGTGAGCGACGATGAAAGCCGTGAAATAGCGGCGTTCTGGGAGGAGAAGCTGCGCCAGTACCAAGTGTCAATACCATCCAGAGACGCTTGAAGAGACGAAGCACTCCGGAGCGAGGAATAGCCGCCGAAATAGGAAAACAAATTGGGGAGGGAAAGGGGCAGTTTTGACTTTTGGTGAAGAGATATTGTGAGATTTATTTATTTTTGGATACTTGTGTGTGTGCGTACGGTGCGGGCGCACCAGCACAAGACGGCAGTATATCGCACACAAACGCCAAAAGTGTCCAACACTATCGAACATAACAGTGACAGAAGAAAATTAGGGAGGGAGTGGGGTTGTTTGTTTCTGGTGAAAACATTGGGTGGTTTTTATATAGTATGTTGATTGTGTGTGCATACGAGGCATGATTGGAGAATTGCCCGGTATGAGGGAATCATTGTATTTGGCGCTGTCGCAGTAATACTGCATTGCTTGTTTTCTTCTGTGTTCTAAGGCCCATCACGAACAGAAGCATCTTGGCGGGATGGGCGAAGGACAAGGTCTATTGGAGAAATGGCGCACTCCGTGTGACCGCATGGGGCGAGGCGCCGCGTCATGGGTGGATGGGGATCCGCTTCCGCGTGTGTCTCTTTGGGTGATTGCTTGCTCGGTGTGCGTAGTGTGTTGGCTGCGGGGCTGTGGCCGTGTTCCGTTGGCTGTGGGATTGAACTGGAGGCGGTGGCGGTGTGTGCGTTTCTTGTGTGGGAAAAAAAAGTTCCGCTGGCAATGCCGGTCGCCTTAGCGTGCTGCCACAGCCAATTGCCCCAAGCGTAGTCGGGGAAGCGAAGAGCCAGCCATATTTCACTCATGGAATTGTTGCTGGCGCAGGGCTGACGACATCGACCAGCGCCCAAGCCAGCCGCGCGTTGCCGTGCCAAATGAGATCCATCGAATTTGAGGAATGGCTGGAAAAAAAACACTGAAGATTTCTGTTATGCCCCTACACACTCTCTGCCCCTTTTTTCTTTCGCCTAGTCTCTCACACCAACAGCGACCATGGCGAAGCCGAAGCTGCCAACGCTTAGACAGAAGCTGAAGCGGGTTACTGTGCTGCTGATTCTCTTCATTGTGGCCACGAATGTTCTGACCCTCAGGTTCGACACCGCTGCCGATGATGTGGCGCCGGGGCCCAACAACCTCCGCCACTCGCGAGCCTCCGCAGTGGACGATGCAGCACTGGCTTACATCCCACGCCGTGTTGTGGAAATGTGGAGCCGACGGGAGTATCTGATTGTGCTGGGCATCCCGTCCACGGACGACGAGGCGAGGCGAACACGACGCAACCTGCAGCGGACGACGTGCTGGCGGTTCCCCGGAGTCGCGACGAGGGCGAACGACTTCACCGGAGCGATGCTCGTGCTGTATGTCCTTGGGCGACACCCGTCGCACGGCTACGAATACTCTGCCGCGCTGCTGGAGGAGGCGTCGCAGTGGCACGATGTGGTCGCGCTGCCAATGAACGAGGGCCGCGTGACGACAAACAAAACAATTTCTGGCGAAGGCTTCTGGGGCCTTGAGGCGGATATTGGTATGAGCCGCAAGACGTACATGTGGTTCGACCTTGCGCTCCGCCTGTTCCCGACCGCGATTTACATTGCGAAGGGCGATGACGATATTTTTCTCCGTGTGCCGCTGTTCGTTGCCATCCTGCGCCTCCTGCCACGCCGAGGGATCTACATGGGAAACCACATCGGTACTACCCATTTTGTGCATAAGGGCTTACCAGGATCCGCGTTTATGATGGGCTGGTGCTACACCTTGTCGAGGGATGCGGCTGAGGCGTTGGCTTCGTACAAGCCGCTGCGGCGCCTGGCGTACCTGCCGTACAGCGAGGAGCTTGATGACGAGTTTTCCCTACTCCGGTTTCAGCACGAAGACGTCATGGTTGCTTGGGTTCTTGAGAGGGTAATAAAGTACCAGCCGATGGTATACGTCAAGGTGCTGGGTTGTCACATCCATGACGCCCGCAATGTCACGGGGCACTCGCAGGTGGTACCGACCTCGATGTGTGTCCACCACTTGGCGGAGGACGACTACGCTGCACTGATGGCGCGCTTCGGCAACGACACATCGCCTGTCGCCCGTGTGGAACGTGTCTCAGAAGACGTGATATACCCGTCGTGCGATTGAAAAATGAAATAAGTGATTTCTTTTCTGTGTTTTTTTTATGTATGCGAGTTAAAACTGAACGTCCTGCTTAATTGTTCTCTGCATCACAGTTCGTGCCCTATGTGCTCTATGGCCGAACGAAGCGAGATGTGTCATTGACCGTCCCCGTGCCCCCATGGAGCATGCCAATCTCCGTCCTCGACCCGCGTGCGGAACGCTGTGCTGGAGACAGTGGGCGTCCGTTGCGTTTTGCTGCCTGTGTGCTTCTTCTGGAGGCACGCGGTGTGGCTGCGCGTCTGTGGGCCGGGCCGCCAATGAGCAATTTGTATAATTTTGTTTTTTCTATCTTTTTGCTTTGCTAATTTTCCGATTGGGAGGTGGAGGGAATTCAGCATTTTTACGAGCTTGTGAAGAGAATTTTTAAGCGGCAAGCGGGCTATCTAATTTAAGATGTATGCCCTGATGAAGCGAACTCTCCATGAACCCTTTTTTTCTTGCTTTATTATTCTTTGATTGACCGCGATTCTAGGAATCAGGGAACCAATGGCGTCTAGCCGGATTTAGCTGTTTATTTTTATTTTTACATCCCAACCTGATTCCTGCAAGCTCATATAAAGGAATGGCGATGGATTCCTTTTACAGGGCAACGGAATGAAGCCTTATCGGTAATCGCATGGCGGATCTGGTACGCCAGCAAGGCGACATACAGGAGCAACTCGCCTACATGGATGAAAAGTGACAGTTGGAATCAATGATGACTCTCAGTGCTACCATAAGTGGCTTACGATGGATTTCAGGAAGCACTGCCAAGCACTGGGAGGATTCAACCCTTACGGGGCACATTGCGGATCTCCGGGCGCCCCAAGCACCAAATTTTGCGTCTCAACTCCTCCTGCCCATAATGAGGGCAGCCCGTGAGTTGGGGGCGCGGCGAGGGCTGACCATCGCGGAAGGGCGGAGATCAAAGCCGCACTACGCCGCCGCTGACGTGCAGAATCGAAGCGCGCAGCTTCAACATTAAATGGAGGAAGCGAATAACCACTTTTCGGCACGTGCGTCCAACACTGCGGTGGCGAACGGTCTTCTTGCGGGGCGCGAACGCCATTTGGAGACAACCCCAGGAACGAAAGGCACGTATCGGTGCCTTGGAAGCGCGGCTTGCAGCTTGGGGTGCCGCGATTCGCCCGGACGGCGGGGAGTTCCTTCTTCCAGGAGAGGGCCGCCAGATGCACCCGCGCACGGGTACGAGGATAGCGCATCGACACCATCCCACCACGAGCATTTGATGGCCGGGGACGCGCCAGCATCCACAATTCCCCAACCCATTTTCACGGGAGAGCGACGGCGGGTCAATACTCTTGCGTCATTGGGCATTGTGGGCGACCGCGTTTCCCTCACCCCGTGACTTTGCCCTCTCGATCTCCGGATTCAGAAGAAGTTTCCGGTTCAAATGAAGAGAATCCGGGTTTTCTTTGAATTTGTCGCCAACACTTGGGTCCCGCGAATTTGGAATGAAGGCATCCTTGGAATTCTATTCGAAATCCGGAGCGCATGCGATTACTGGCACCGAGGGGACGCTCACGCCCGAATCGCCTTTGGCATTTCTGGTTTCGTGGATGCGCGCGTCGCGGTTGCATCGGGAGCCCAGCAAGCAGTTTATGGACTTGGGCGGGATTGTACTGCGGGTCTTCCGGATGCGGATCGTGATTAAATTCGACCCCAGCATCCCGATCCAAAAACTGCCTGCCCGCCTTCACACGGCTTTTCATGAGGATGACACCTTCGCGAGGGTGGCTCAGCCTCTCATGGATCGACGGGGAACTCGACCGCAACAATAACGATCGCTGCTATGCCAACTGTGCCTTATTTATGGACACGACGCGTCTACTTGCAACGTGCGCTCCAAAAGGGTTTTCCCCGAACTACAAACGAAGGTTTAAAAAAACGGCAAAGGGGCTGCCTGCCGCTTATGAGGGCGGAAGAAAACAGCCCCATCCATTCCACCGCCTCCCACCATTTCACCACAGAAGACGTCGCACCGCACCGCCGTTGTTCCATCCGATCCTTCGAATCGCCCCACGCAATCGTTAAGAAGCACAAAGGAGCTTATGCGCCAACGACGCTCGACTGTGGTACCGCGAATCACCGATATCTTCGCTTTGGGCCAGCTACATGAGGAAGGCAAACGAGGTCGCTCGAGAGATGTGGGCGCCGTCAACGTGGAAGCAGAGAATGTCCCTAGCAGGGCAATTCACAACCTTTTGCCGAACGCACTATGAACGAGGAGAGCTGCGCGGCCTTTTTGATGGCAATATGAGATGTGGCGCCATCGACCCGACCGCAGCATACTGGCGTGCTGCGGTCTACGTTGGAAATGGATCGAACCCCGCTGGATATGGCGGCTTTGAGGTTACAAAAAATTGCGGTGCGATCGGAGACGAAGCAGACGCACCCCATGACAGAGGAAGAGATGAATCAAGTAATCTGCAGCCGGACCGATTGGAAGCAACGTGTTGTCTTACGACTTGCGTGGATGACGGCGAGTCGTTTGTTTGAGATTGCGGTCTTAACACCCAACAATTTCACAGTGGAGGCGGACGGAACCTTAATTTTGGATCGGACCGTGGCACCAAAGACGGCGAGGGCGGATCCCCACCGCGCCTTGCGGTTCGTGAGGATACGAGGGCAGGACGCCTTCGACACTATAAAGCTATGCAGGACACTTCAAGAAAACGAAAAGCTCACGAATATTACGACCGCCCACGTGGAACGAGCTTTGGCTCCTTGGAATGCCACGGCGCATTCCATAAAACGGGGAGCGTTGAGACACGCTGCTCAAATCGTGGAGGCGTACAATTTGGATCCACACGTGATCTCGCGGTTGGCGAAGGACGTCGACCCGTTCGGCCTTCCCAAGAATACTGTTCGATATTTGGGGAGGTACACCACAGTGCTGACCCAGGTGTCGTCGCTGGTCGCATTGATGTGAAGGGAGAAACTGCGGAAGGGCAAGAACCCTGGCTGAAAGCGGAGGAGCGTTTTTCCATGATTTTTATCACAATCATGCTGCTACAATAACGAGACGCGCGACAAGGACGCGTCTGGCCACTCCACAAGATGAACACGCTATCCAGCTACGGCAAGTCAACGTGCCCGTATTGAATCTAGAGTGGATTAAAAGTCGGTTGAGCCCGGCCACCTTGGAGAGTCTCATACAAGTTTGGGGACGCGTCGGGCGGTCCCCTCTCCCTCCGTCTTCCTCCGGTAAAGCGAGCGAAGACTCACGGAGGATTCCAACCGCTGACGCGAGATTGTTACAAAAAGCAGGAATAATCGAGGACGCTTCGTCCACAATAACAGGCGGGTGGATAATACCCTTCTCAGTGGTGGAGGAGAAAACCACCGGTTTACGACGACGATGGATTGCGTGGCCACGCGACAAGAACAGAGACGACCCTTATGAGGCTAATGTTCCTCTTTTACACATTTCCCATTATTTGCCACCTGTGATGGCTGAGGCCGCTTCCTGCCTGGATTTAAAGGCATCCTTTTTTTTGAGTTTCTTTACCGCGGGAGAATCGGCATCTCTTTCGATGCCGCGTGGAGGACGGCACGCTGGTGGAGCTCACACGGCTCCCAATGGGATACAAGGCCGGCCCAGAAATTCTCCGGATTATTATTACTTCAGCAATTGCGGTGGTGACGACGGTGGCTCACCGCCTCTGGGCCGCACCTCCATCGGTGCGTGCCGACGTATGGATCGATAATATACGCATTGCAGGGTCGAAAAGCGACGCGACATTGTGGGAAGTCCAAGCGCTTTGTAACGCGGACAGTTGTCACGCATCCATGGGGGAGGATCGCGAATCGGGTGCTGCGCAGTACACCTTTCTGGGGGTGCAGTTTGATCACACTCACCGGGCTGTATCCCTGAGTGACAAGTTTGTCCGGTCTGTATGCGCCATGCCGGCGCTTAATTCTTTAACCATCGCGGAAATGGAGGTTACGGCGTCACGCTTTTTATATTTGGCGGCCATTTTAGGCACGCGTTTATGTGACTACTACTTTTTCATCAAGGCAGTGCGACGACGATTGTCCGCACTTAACCGGGGGATGGAGCGGCGAACCTTCCACCGGCAGCGGTCGGTTTGGGCGAGAGATTGCAACACATCATCGAGAATAATCGTAGGCGAATGTTCAAGCCCACAGAAAAGGCATCGGCCACCATCATCACGGACGCATCGCTCCATGGATGGGGAGCCGTTTTCATTCCAGACTCCGGAGACGTTAAAATTGCCGGAGGAAAATGGTGGAGGAGTCCTTTTCTATCATGCAGGCCGAGGCGCGCGCGGCACGCTTGGCCCTATCGGCCTTTTCCGCCGTCTTGCCACGCACCATGGACGTTTGGGAGGACAATACTTCGCTGCGAGGAGCGGCGAGTAAAGGCAGCTTAAAATCGCACGCGTTGACGTGGGAGCTGCGACGGATATATGAGTTTTTGGACTCTCGCGGAATACAGGCAACTTTTGTCTACGTGCGGTCTGCGGAAAACCCCACAGACGGCATATCACGCGGTCGTGTTTTTGCACTTCAGGACTTGGCGAAGGGGTGGAACTTGCGAAGGGGAGCGGCGGTGTCTTTTGGCTGCAGGACCCCAAAGTCTGCCACCTCGTAAGTAATAAATAAATAAATATTCCATCGGAATGGAGTGAGCAGGGCCACGATTGAGGCTAACGTATGGTATAATATACATACACTTACTAGCTGTTAAACTTTGGGAATGTGGTGAATCCACTCTTATTCCATTTATTCCTTTCTTATTCCCATCTGGTTTGGTTTCTATTATTGATAAACTCATGATCCGGCCAGATGCCCAGAAGATTATTCTAATTTATTTATCGATCTATCCCTCTCTATGTGTGCTTCTATATTTCCTCTGAAAGGATTCTTTTCTATGGAAATGCCCTTGCGAGCGCTTGCCAGTTTTTTTTTTTCATTGATTACTTCTTTACATTTTGTTT